ATCAGTAGACCCAGAGCCAACTGCTTAGGTTGGTTCTCTCCAATAATTAGAGAAGCATTGGATTGGACTCTGTGGAGAAAATAAAATTTAAAAATAAATTAATTAAATTTCTCATGTGGTTAAGATAATTGGGGAACTGTAGCCTCTTCTTCTGGGGAAGCAAGGGTCTCACTGAGGTGAGAAAGCAAAGAATAGTAATAAGAGTGGTTACTTAAGCTGTTCAGAAAGGCGAAACACAAAGTGTTCTATATGCTCTTTAATCTCATTCATCTTAATGAGGTGAGTACTGTTAATTGCCTCATTTTAGAGTTTTACAGATTAGGATACTGAGACCTAGAGAGGTTAAGTAACTTGCCCAAGGTCACAAGATTAGTTAAGTGATATTGCTGGAATTCAAATCCAGATCTTTTTGACTCCAGTGTCTATACTTTTTAGTTAAGTTGACTTAGGACATTAATGTCCTTGCATCCCTCCTCTTCCTTTTATACCATTAGTTAGGATGTTTCTAACCACCCCTCGTGTCAGAATACATCTTCATTAATCAAGTTACTTTACATTGGCTTTGGGAAAATAAACTGTTCATGAAGAGAAATTGCTTAACTTTCCTAACTTTTAATATCACTCTCTGTTATTTAATTTCTATCGCTTGATTATAATCATTCTGATTAATGGCATTTTAATACACTGTTCTACAAGTGATACAAACAGATCTGCCTAACTATTTAGGTCATTCATGGACCTGTCAAATAGTACCATCCTCTGAGTAATCTTAAGTTACTGGTTTTCTGTACTACTTTTCATTTACTTCCTTTATTGTCATTATAGAGAATGCTAGAGCATTGACTAAGACAGTTTTCTTTTTTTTCTCTCATCAGTCGTCAGTAAACAACTGAATGTCAGTAAAGTAAGGGATAAAGGAACTAGCATTAATTGATAAAATTACAAAGATTTCATTATATTCGAGGCCACCTCTGAGTTAGGGATCTTACTAATATTATTATAAACTTAGTAATAACACAAAAGTCATCAGTTTTCAGCTTATGAAATGATTGTTCCACAGCAGCCAAAAGGTCCACCTCTCACAAGAGTCATTTGGAAGTCAGTAAGTATAACATCATAGTTGATGATTTTTTAGGTATGGAAGATGATTTTTCAAACATTTGAAATTTTTGCAGTTAATCTGAAAATCTAGTTCAAATAGGATTGCCTCAGTTTTTTTTCTTAATAACAAACAGATTAAGCCATTATTATTTGTTAAAAGAATGTTTATAACAAATGAAATATTTTTAATTTTCAGTCTTACTATTACCATACTGTATTTAAAATTTTTAATTTAACTTTTCAAAAGGTGTAGCTTCAAGTTAACACCTAAAGGACAAAAAATTTTTTTGTACTTTTATCGTTTAAGATACAAGGTGTATAAAATAAATACTGCTTAGAAATACATATAAAAAGCTTACAGCATTCTTTGAGTAAATACATTCCTTCTCCCCTCTCTAATTTTTAATTATAGGTACTCGACCACCATTGATCAAAAATTTACCTAAGCCCATTGAGAGCCTGATGACTCGATGTTGGTCTAAAGATCCTTCTCAACGCCCTTCAATGGAAGAAATTGTGAAAATAATGACTCACTTGATGCGGGTATAATCCTTTTTTTGAGGGGCTTTGGATTTAGGGAAATATGATATATACTGTTTTAATGGAGTTTTAAAGTAAGGAGACATTATTGTTATTTTCTGCTTTGTACTTTTCTGTATTTTCCATTAGAATGGGCATTTATTACTCATATGATCAGAAGAAGACATGTCATTTTGAAAAAAAAATGTCTAGTTCTTAATTATGGAAAAGTGGCTGGACTAGGGTTTTGGACTTGCTTTTTTTTTCAGTCTTAATTTCGTGGATAAATAAATGTATTTGTTTCTAGGCTTGCCTGTTGCCTCATCTGTAATGTGAGAGAAGCCGAATTAGGTGATCACCGAAGCCTTTATAGGACTTAGGAATTTTATGACTCTTATACTTGCTAAACTAAATTTTAAATTTTCTTTAGTACAACTCTTCATCAAGCAGCCATTTATGTAGGACAATAGAGAGATTGCACTCCTAGACACATTTATTTAAATGATTTATACCTTTTGGTTTTTCATTACATATTTTCTGCTTTTCATTTGCCATTAAAAAGTTAAACTCTCTTCTAGGATTTATAGGATTTTAAAAATTTAGAACAAACAACTCTTTTAAAGGATTATCCAGATTTCCTAGTGCACTACCAAAACCTGTCAAGTGGTACCTTAACTTAAAAAAGTTAATTATTTACGAAAGTACCTGAATCTCAGAACAATTTGCTCTGTAGAAGAATCTTTCAATCTCCTTAAATATAGCTAAGTGATTTCCTAAATGGCCAAGGATTTAGTTTGTTCATTCTATTGAAAATAGTTTAGGTAAATCATCTTGACCTAATCTGATTAAAGTTTACCATCATATTTGGGTACCAGCTGTATATAGAATCCCAGGCCATAAAGATTTCTTCATAAGAAAACAACTTAGTCTCTGTAGTCATATATCTTAAAACATGGGGGTATATGAATTGTTCAAATTGTAATTGTATTCAATATGTGCTTTAATTTGAAAAGAATATATTTTTTCCCTAAATTCTTATTTTTGTCCAGCAATTATATCTCATACATTTCTAGTTCACAGAGTAATATCCATAATTTATCTTTTATATTTAAAATATTAAATATTTCTGACAATTATTCTATGGCATACCAGTCTTAGTTGTCAGGCTAACAACCTTTGCAGCAGTTTGGTAGTTTACGTCCCTACTATGAGAACATAAATATTTTTCTTGTAATTACGAGGAATGATGCTATTATATTTCATATGTTCCTTTAGAGAAACATTTGCTGTTTTCTTCAAGACTATGTTGGTTCTGTGTAAAATACTTAGGTAATACATGGCATTGATCACACTTAAAATTCAGAAAAGTAGCACATTATTGTCATTTTTTTTAAATCAAAAACTTAGTTATCTACAAATTCAGTATACGCCATAGGGAAAATAAAGCAGCATCTTTACTACATTTAGACCCTATGACAGTGAAATAATTCAGATGTACTTGCCAAGTTAATTTTTACAGATTTTAGCTTATGTTAAAGAAATTTTAAATTGGATTTACTTTTATTATATATAGTACTTTCCAGGAGCAGATGAACCATTACAATATCCTTGTCAGTATTCAGATGAAGGACAAAGCAACTCTGCTACCAGTACAGGTAAGTAGATTGGAAGAGTAATAACCTAATTTCTTAGTGTCTCTCCCATGAAATTATAATCAAGGAGCAATAAACAATGTCCCCATTTGCATTTTAATTTCATTTCATATAATTGACTGCAGTTTGAGTTTCCAGGTGCATCATTCTTCATAAAGCTAGCCAAATTCAAGAGTTACTAAAACCTGCTTCCAAGTCTTGGAATTCTTGCAAAGTTACATGTAAAAGATTGGATATTGTACATTGAGTTACTCTGAATTTTAAAGTGAACTCTAAAATTCCACGTTTCGCTTCTATTACTATCTTCAACCCTCTCCTCATTTTTATACTATGACCTTCAGTCCTTTGACCTTTTACCTTTTCGCTGACCTAGGTTCTTCCTTCCTCCCTCTTCTTAATTCCAGGCAGTTATTATAATTCCATTGAGAATAATCTTTAGCCTTCTAGCCCTTGTCTCAAGCTTGCTTGGCTAAACCAGAAGCCTGATTAATTTGACACTCAGTTTACTCCTTGCCTATATCAGTGTAGCTGAATGTGCCTAGAGGTGGCACATGTTTACTATCCTCAAATGCCTATTTAGTGCTGCTAGACATGTTTTAGTCCATCTCTCCTCTTCCAAATGACCTAATTTTATACTTTAGCCTCTCTTCTCAAACTTCAAACACCTCCTCCCCAATCTTCACTCTTAGCTGACCTTGTTTACTGTTTCTCTGGAAAAAAAAAAAAAAAGAGTAATCAGAAGATAGGTTCCATAAGCTCCTTCACTACATCTGCCCATCTACCTGTATCAGTATCTGTGCCCAACTACTCTACATTCTCTTTTGTTACTTGTGGCTAAACTGTCCGTGCATCTAGCTAAAGGCAAGCCTATCTACTTGTGCATTAAATCCCATCTGCTCTTCCCAGCAGTTCTTCCCGCTATCTCTTGCATCATCCATTTTAGCCTTTCTATTAGGATCATTCCCAGAGCAGTATAGTTTGTATTTGCATTCTCTAGCTTCTTTCTTCCCATTCTCTCTTGTGCCCACTCCATTCAGGCCTTTGTTATATCACTACTCCAGAATTGCTCTTGTCAAGGTCACCAGTTATCTTTACATTACTAATTCTAAATGCGTGCTTATCAATTCTCATCTTTTTTGACTATCAGTGGCATTTGACACAGTTTGTTAAAGCATTTTCTTCAGTTGGTCTCCAGGATACTATAATCGCCTGGGTTTTGTATCTGTGGCCACTGTTCTGATGGTTTCCTATGCTGGTTATTTCTTGTTTTCTCAGCCTATAAGTGTTAGAGTGACCAGAGGTCAGTCGTTTGGCCTCTTCGCTGATCTAACTACACTGCTTTCCTTGATAATCTCTTCTAATCTCATATCTCTATATACTGTCTATTTGCTGATGTTTTGCTCCATTCCAGACCTGAACTCCACATACATCTCTACTTGCTTGATATCTAACAGGAACTTAAACTTATTTTTTAAACTAAGCTCCTGGTGCTCCCTTCAAACTCACTCTTCCTGTGGTCTTCCCCATCTTGATTAATAACCACTTTGTTCTACTAGCTCAAACTAAGAACCTTCAAATCATCTTTGACTATCAGAAGACTAAACATTTTGGTTCCCTTTTTGTGCTATTTTTATCTAAAAATGGTTTTTTTGGGGTATCCTCATTAGCTTGAAAAGTCTTATTACTATTCATGTCTTGCTAATTTAGAAAAGAATTTGTTACATATTATTGATTGAAGCATCTGTATTATTTCCAACCTCTACTCATAAATGTTTCTGCTTTCGTAGGCTCATTCATGGACATCGCTTCTACAAATACAAGTAATAAAAGTGACACTAATATGGAACAAGTTCCTTCCACAAATGACACTATTAAACGCTTAGAATCAAAATTGCTGAAAAATCAGGCAAAGCAACAGGTTTGTTTTGTTACTCAAAGTAAACTGATGTGGTAACCTTACCAGTTGTCATAAATGAAATTAATTATTTGCTATCTTCCATTATACAAATCTCGAATCTTCTTCCTAAAACAGACAGATAAGCTTAAGAGTAGAATGTAATGAGATTCTCCTACCATTTATTACCAAGCATATTGTTTTTCCTTCTTATGATTACTACCTTTGCCAACTGTGCAACTCCCTTCGTAAGGTGATCCCTGACTTTAATGGTTGATGGTTAATAATGTAAACTAGCTGTCTTTTAGCTGTAACATCTAGTTAAAGAAATTGTCCTAAATTGTCCTAGATTTCATGTTCAGATTTATTATATTTTTGCTGTTATTGGTTTAAAATTTTTTTAAGACGTGATTTTATTTATCTTGTTTGAGGCTTTAGGTTAACTAATAATTGGAGCATTTAACTGCAAACTCCAGTGACTGCCCTTTTCTAAAGGCCAGTATCGCAGCTAGCTCTTACTTAGCCCTGTTGTTCGCTCTTCCTGAAAACTTCCCTTTTCTTTCAGAACCAAATAGAATCCATAACAGTACCAGTTGGCATCTTCCTCCTTCTAGGCTGCCCAGGATTTTAAATCTAAAGAGTTTCAGTAATTCAAATTGACCTGTAATTTTAACAGAGTGAATCTGGACGTTTAAGTGTGGGAGCTTCCCGTGGGAGCAGCGTAGAGAGCTTGCCCCCAACCTCCGAGGGCAAGAGGATGAGTGCTGACATGTCTGAAATAGAAGCCAGGATTGCTGCGACCACAGGTAAAAAGGAAATAAAAGTCTAAAGAAGAGTGTAAATGATAGTTTCAGTTATTTCAGGATTGGGAATATCGGGTGTTTTTTGTGTCTTAAAATTTTTTAAAGCAGGAAATGGGCTTACAGTATACTTTCTAAGCTTCTAGCAATAATTTATACATTTCTCTGAAATTCCAAATAAGGAAGATATGACTTGTAAAATTATTTAGGTTATAAAATATACCTTACTAATTACAGATTTAACAGATATAATTTGTTTAGCTCAAACGTGAGCTTGAAGCCTAAGGGAGAAATTGAAATTTTGCCAAAACCAGAATGTTTGGGAAATTTTTAAGTGATTCTACTAGAATTTTGTGCTGAACTCAATAGCAAAGAGCAAATATTTTGTTTTGAAAGTAGCAAAAAAATATGCTTCAGATCCACATATAATTTGGCCTTACTGTTGTGCTCCTCCTCCTGCCGCTGGAAAAAATAGCTAAGCTGTTTGTGGTTAATTCTTTTAACTATAAAATTAAAGATAATTTTAGTCTCTCTAGAAAAAGCTAATATTTAAATTTAATTTCGTCAGTTTTTAAAGTGATTAATTATTGGAAGGACTAGTCAGCACAAAAACAATTGTATGTCTTGTTACCTGAGTGAACTTCTAACCTTCTTTCTAATAACCAGGTTTCATTTCAGTAATACTGGTTTAATTAGCTCACTTTCCAATTTTCACGGGGGTGGAGGGGAGCTGATTATAAAAGTAAATACATTTCTGTTGTGAAAAATGTGGAAATGTAAACAAACGAAAAAAAGTCTTCCATAGTTGTCCCATCCAGAGATAAACACAACATTTTTGTGTATTTATCTCTAGTCTTTTAACTATATATGTGTATACATGTGTATTTCCATGTGTATTAGCATATGTATTTTTTAACTTAGCTAACCAGATTTTTTTTTTAGGTCTTTTTTGTCATTCATTTGATTTTTTCCTAAAATAGAATATTCTCATTTTGTGTGGAGCTCTTTTTCAGAAAGAAGTTGTCCAGAGGACCACCATACTATACTTATCTTCAGCTAATCATGATCACTGATTTAATCAGCGTTAGAATCGGGTAGATATAACAAAATATCCAAAATAAGTGTCTTTAACACATAAACTTTATTTTTCACGCATAGAGAAATCTGGAGGTAGGCTCCATGATCATTAGGCAACTGGGCTCCTTCATCCCTCTGTGCCACAATCCGTTTGTGGCTTCCATCCTCAAGGTTACTTTGTACTCCAAATGAATATTATAATGTTAGTCATCACATCCACAATCCAGAGAGCAGGAAGGAAGAATTAGAGGAAGGCCATAAAGGCACATGCCCAAGCTCTTTCAAGGAGCTTTCCCAAAAGTTTCCCAGAACAACTATTACATTAGCTATAGTAATACGGTCAGATGGCTACACATGACTCCAAGGAACAGAAAGATCTACGATCTTTTATCTGGGAACATTGCCATCTTGAGTAAAGTCAGGGCTTCGTTGCTAAGAAAGAAGGGAAGAATAGAGATTGGCAGGGCACTAGCAGTCTCTGCCACGCAGATGGGTCTTCAGAAACGATCAAGTTGAATGGAGGTCACCAGCTACTGACAAGCCTTCCTGGTCTCTGTGAGTCACAAGTACTTCTGTGGAGGGAGGGAGTCTCAGTGTAGTGTCAGGTGAACAGTGTCCACAGGGACATACCTTCACACTTTGGGGAACTTTTTCACTTCAAGGATCTCATTCAGGGTAGACCTGCCAAATAGTAAGTGCTACCCTAAAACAGGAAGTAGTGTGATAATAATATTATTATATCTGCTAGTGTCAATTTTCTAGTCAGGTACTAGTTTATAATTATTCTTTACAAAAGTGATGTTTCACTAGGTTAAAGATAACCACACACATTTAAATTACCCTATCCTTTTTCTGCCTAAACGTAGAACAGATGCTATCGAACATACATTGAATTTTACACAATTCAGATTTTTTAGTGAATTGTCTTAACTTTGAAAGGTTCATATTCTCCAGCCTTTCAACACTATTCATGTTTAGTGGGAATATACCCTAAATTTTGGAAACTACAATAAATATTCAGTTTACTAGAAGTATATGTAAATATTTATAATTATAAAAGCATACACATTTCATACTTTGATTCAATATTTATCATTTAATCACTGAATTTTACTTTACAGCACACTTCAAGAAACACCTAACTTGAACATATATTCCTGTGTTTGTGTAATTAAAACAGATATGGCAGCTTATTTCTTTTAACTCCTTTCTTCTTTCCCACTTTCATCCTAGTCCCCTATCGCATATCATAGGTTTCACTTAGGTAGATTGTTTTTGTGGACATGTTTGAATTTAGCTTCCTCATTATCCTGCAGCTTTGTTTGTCTCTGTCCCTTTTTTTTTCCTGCTAATTAAAGCTAGTATGTGAAGCATCTTGTATTGGTAGTTGTTTGCTCCTTAATCATGCCTTTTCTAAGCATGGATGAAAAGTTAGATAGTTCTGCATGCCATTCTGCATGAAGTGTTATTAACATAAGTATTTTGAAAATTATTCTGTTTTTGTAGTTAATTGTTTTCTGTGTTACTATTTGTGGTTGTTTGCATGTATACTGTATATATGTGTTTTTGCAGCCTCTTCCAAGCCTAAACGGGGCCACCGTAAAACTGCTTCATTTGGCAACATTCTGGATGTCCCTGAGATCGTCATATCAGGTATCATAGACCACCTCAGGTGGTCTAATAACTATGGTATCGGAATAATGATCCCTGGTACTTACAAAATGCTTCTTGCTCCAATTTTTTATAGGACATGACAATAGATACCTGGCATGTAGTAATTAGGGAGACAAATTGAAAAGTGAATGCATTTATCTACACTGAAGCAGGTTTGACAGGGTACCTCAGATCTCTCAAAACTAAAGAAAGAAAAGAAAATTTTTTCACAGAACGGAGAATGCCACCCCAAAATTCTACCAGTTCTTCCTCTTACCTTTTAAGTGAGCAGCTGAACTGAACCCAAATCTTTTTTGTATCTAACAGAAAGAAGAAACAACTATTTTAAAATATTTGTTGTCCTGTCTCCTTTTCTTTTTTAGTTACTGCTCTTGGGGCTTCTTCTAGGTGTTCTCTCCCAGCCTCTTTCTGTTGGTAGCAAGTGAAATATGAAGTTGAGAAGAAAGTTGCTAAATACCATTTTACCTTAACTTAGAAAACAGAAACAAAACTAAATAAAATTTGCTGTTTTGCATGGTATCTTGCCAAAGAATCATGGTCAATTCTAATTTGTGTATTATCAGGAGAATCTTCTCACAAATTACTTATTTTTATACCCGTCACATGGAACTTCAGTGTCTCAAATTGGTAAATTGCTTTATTTCTTAGTGATATCATAGATGAATCTAAATCATCATTTTTGATAGAAACTTAAATAGCATACATGACCTTCATTATTGGTTAATATATGTTATCAAAATTATCATTTATCCCTCCGCTTTAGGTTTTGCTTTACCCCTTCCCCCAAATTTTTGATAAGAAAATACACATACACATACCCATACACATTCATGGGTATGATTCAGGTGACTTCTCCAGCACTCTGTACTTTGCCTGTGATTGTGCTTTTAGCATACTGTTGGATTATAGTTGAATACCTAGTAGTTGTTTTCTCCTTTAGAAAATTGAAAAATGTGAGGATAGAGACAATGTCTTTGTCATTTATTATTGATTTTATCAGCAATATCTGGCTCCATGCCTCCTACATAGTGTTTAATAAATATGTGCCTGTTAAATGAACAAACTATTATTGAGGTCCAATGGCTAGGAACCAGGATACATATAAAATCTATATAAATTATAAATATGTATAAAATGTAAATTATACAATTCCTAGGGGCCATTTTGTCTGTACAAAACTATTTTACGTTAGAGTAATTTTTATTCTAGTTATCAGAGTCGTTTACAACATCATCACTATTGCTATTCAGAGAATAGAGTTAACCTATTTGTGACATAGTAATTTTATTTATTGAGTCATGGGCTACTTTCAGAATTAACAAAGTACTTGAGATCATTTTACCTTCACACCGAAAGGTACTATGTTTAAGGGAATAGTATTCTGACTAAAAAAGTGGCAACATTTAAACATACATACTGCTGAGCTGTAATTATCTTAAATGTTTGAGGTAATCAGGAAAATTTAGGCAAATGGTAATATGATCTTAATCCAGGTCTTATGGGTAAGCATTAAGAACAAAACACATGCTCACATGTGTGCGCATGTGTACACACACACACACACACACACACACACACACATATACATACATACATACATACATACACTTCTTGTTAGGGGTGATATAGCCAATACAGTACAAGATAATGAGGGAGAGGAAGAGGAGAAAGTAATAGTCTCAGTGGTTCTCAACCAGAGTTAATTTGCCTCACAGGGGACATTTGGAAACATTTTTGGTTGTCACAACCAGAAGGTGCTACTGGCCTATGTAAGCAGAAGCTGGGGTGCTCCTAAACATCATACAGTGTACCATACAGCCTCCCATAGCCAAGAATATTCAGCCTAAAATATTAACAGTGCCAAGGCTAAGAAACCCCAGTTAGTTGCTCTGTGGCCCATAAAGTAGTTTAAAGAATATCATCTTAATTGATCTTCATAACAGTCTTATAAGTATGGTTATCAGATAAAATTACATATAGTCATTTTACAGATGCAGGCATTAAATCTGATGATGTTGAGTGGTTTTCTCACCGCTAATCACATTCATTTTCTCCTTTTTTGTTTGAGTCAGTGAAGATATAGTAATTTTGCCTTGCTTCTCCTTAAGGATCATATTAAAGAGAGCTCTTCATCCAGGAGTCCCTCTTTTAGGACACTGGGTCCTTATGAAGTCAGGAAACTTTAATTCTGCTGTTAATTGCCAGAGCAACATCGCTGTTCAAGTGGAAATAATATTCAGTAATACATTTTCATTCAACATTTTTGTTGGTGTTAACCAATGTTACCCCAGTAGACTTAATTTAAAAAAAAAATGAAACTCAACCACCTTCTTACACTACATTACAAGAATTAAAAAAAAAATTCTTGTTAGGTTTCCCACCCAAATGTTCAAACATTAACATAATTAGTTTCACTTTAATAAAAGAATGCAAGCACTGGAATTGAAATAATTGGACATAAAAGCCAAACATTAATTTGTTCTTGTATTTTAAAATTAAATATAAAAATATAACCCATGCTTTAGGAATATCTCGAATATCTTACATGAAGATTTTAATTATAAAGGAGAATTTTTTTCCCAAAATTTCTTAATACCTTCTAGAATTTTTTCTCAAAGTCAGTTTTCCACAAATTCGATGGTTTTACCAGGTATTTCTTGATATATTCAAACTGGTATTAATTAGCATCGGATCCCACTTGTAAGCATTTTTAAAACTATAGCTATATTTTTCACCAATTTATTAATCACTAGGGTCATGTGAAAATGGACCTTAGTATCTTAGTACTTCCTATAGATCAAACTACACAATTTCTTACACCTATTCTACATTCTTACACCTATTCTGACTCTGAAGAAGTATTAGTAAGGGAATATGAAATTTGTGGTAACCTAAATGAGAACACAGATTTTAAAATTACATACTCAATTTATCATGAAGCAGTAATGTAATACTGCAGTGTATAAAGTGCTATACAAATTTTTAAATCTTGTGTATTTTACACACTAAGAATAGTTTTCTCATAATTTTTAATATTTAAAACTTATGGATCTCAGAATTTTTAATATCTTAAAAATTAAGAGATATCTCCAAGAAAATATAGTGTTGACTGTTGCATGAAGAGAGTCTTCGGGAAGTTTGGAAAATAGAAAAATTAGAGTAGTTAAGGTAAGGAAAACTATGCAATTACTTAAACCAATAAAAAAAAACTGAAGAAATGACTGAGACCTAAGCCAGTCTCTGGAGGGATTCTCATGTCATTTAAATACTAGCTCAGGATATCTTAAAACACTACTTAAGAGAACAGCTTTTTCAAGAGATGGATTCTGTTTTTGTGACATCGTAGAAACAGCTAAATTGACCTTTCAGCTGCTATTCCAACCACCCTTTTTTTGGAGGCGCGGAGGGTGAAGGGTAGGGTGGCCTAAGGATATAGTGTATTCCTTTTATTGCTCTTATTTACAAAAGTTATGTTTAAAAATATTATTTGTTCTCTATCATAAGTCACTAAAGTTCCAGATTTCGTTACAGAGTAGATAGAATACTAAGGACATCATTTTCAGATTTCAGATTCCTTGATCAGGCATCTTGATATCATATTGCCCTTCTTTTCTACTTTTTTCATTTATACTACCATGTGAAACATAGGTATGCACATATCAAAGAACCATGAAAAAATGTAAAATCAGTTTCTAAATTAATATGTAGTTGCAAAAAATTCAGAATGAATCTAAATTTACTAAGAACACACTCAGTAATTTTCATTTGCAATAATAGGAGTTTGATTTTTTTACATTCATATTTCTAAATTGACCTAAAACTTAATATTGGAGCAACAAGTATTTGTTGATTGTGATCCTTTTTTGCTTTGTCTGAACTATTTGCCAGATGGTTTCTGCCATGGTTATGCTAATTAAAATGCATTGCTTATTATTGCTTGCTTTGACTCATGCTCTAGCTTAAAGATTTCTCTTTTTATGGCATTTGTTAACTGTCAGCTTTTCTTTACCCTACTTACTTAAAAGCTTTGACTTCCCTTTCCTCTTACCCCCACCTAGATTTCAGTTTGTTTTTGTTATTGCATTGGTGATGTAACGATTTTTAAACATGTGCAGGGTGGTTCCCCAGTTTCACAAATGTTGCTTATCTGAAAAGAGAATTCCAGACACTTTTAAAAGCCTGTCTCATCTAAGCTAATTTTAGAATGATCGTGTTGAATGAAAATGCCTAAAATTGCTTATTAGTCATGGTGGTGTGGGGATCCTTTTTGTACTCAGGAAACAGGGATAATTAAAAGTTTTCACAGAAGTATCTTAGTGTGCCTAATTCAATAAATGTGCAGTTTGTTATGTTAGTTTGTAATCAAAAGTTGGAGCTTGGAATAAAATGAAATTTGAAGTAAATTTGAGTTACAATTATACAAAGAATTTTAAAACTTAGTTTGAAATAGAAAGGAGTGATGATATCTTACACTTTTGAGGATGGCTGTAAATTTGAGTTTTTGTATTTACTACACATTATTACATTAAACATTATTATAAGGTCCTTTTAGTTTATATGCAAAATAAAAATGGGGTCACATGGATTAAGATGCCAAATTATATTACTCATTGGTTTAAAATAAGATACTTTGGGTTATGGAGATATAAATTTTAAGAATGAATTTCATCTGCTAATCAGGCTATAACTATTAGAGTATATCTTCTGAGGGCTGCCCAGTAGTTAAGAAATTACATAATATAGCTTTCAAAGTCTAAAGAATTTTGAGTATTGTGTCAGCTGTTACTCATAATATTTTGGTGTTTTTTAGACAGCTGATCTCTCTCTCCTCTAGGAGATAACTGTTTGAACAGCCCTATTCCTAAATAAAAGTGCTGAGTGAAGCTGTTGCTTAATTCATTCTCTTTTGCTGAAAGCCCGATTTGTAGAATTCTTTCATAGACTGATTTATTAAATTAAATTATTAACAGAGTGCCTAAAGCCAGGTTAGCACAATAGCCTATTTAAACAAGCTGTATATTTGAGAAGAGAATGAGAATCATTCATCTCCAGTAGGAAATTTGAGTTGTTCACAACTAATAAATTACCTGATTCTGACAAAAACTAATGGAATTAAGTGTGACTGGGTTTCATATATTTAAGCCTAAGCATCCTTTTAGGCCCTGAAATGAATAAAGGCACTGCTGTTAAAGTCATTCATGTCTTACAACCTGCTAGCTGTCTTGCTGTAGAAGCTGTAACATAAGGCGCTTGAAATAGATGCCATCATCAGCCCCATCCCCCAAGCATTCATCTATTTAAATACATGACAGAAGATGATGGTGGAAAAGAGTTCAGCAGCTATTCGTGTGGTAGGAGTGGTTATCGTGTTGGTACATACTTGGTTGTAGGCCGGCAACTTTTGAATTAAAACACTGCAGCTGTTTCTCTTCCTTTCCTTACATCTTTCTCTCTCACTCTTTTTTATATATATATATATATATAATAAACTTACTCTTTTTCTCACAGACATTTTGCATAGATCCAAGGAGCAAGAAATTCCAACTTCCTCCTGTAGCAGTTACATCCTTATTGTCTGTCTGAATAGATTTCAGTATTACACTTTTTTTTATTTTTAAAAGGCAACGGACAGCCAAGACGTAGATCCATCCAAGACTTGACTGTTACTGGAACAGAACCTGGTCAGGTAAGACTTAACATTCGAAGTATCAGTCTTCGAAGGATAATAATGGGCAGAAATCAAGAATTAATCATTATATATATTATATTATATTATATTATATTACATTACATTACACTACATTACATTACATTACATTACATTACATTATATTATATTCACATAATATATACACAGTGCAAAAATTAGTTTTATGAGTTGACCTCAAATTGTGATAGAGAAGTTCATTGGCATTTGAACCTTAAGTACTAGAGAAAAAAGAAAGTCTAGATGCCATTATTAATTTAACTTGAAGGATAATTTATGAAAGCTTGATTGATTCAATAGTGCTTTGTGCATGTTATGTGGTTTTTATATATGCTGTAATAAGAAAGTACTCAGTTTTGTAATTTAAGTTTGTTTTTATCGTCCTCTAAAAAGAATCATTAACTATTTTCCCACTATTATGTCACTCCTCTAGGATCACATAAGACACTCACATACCTGAGGGACTCTTAACATCTTTTAATTTGTCATATTCGCTGGATTTATATTTTTATGAAATATCCTTAAGGCTATTTACTAAGCAGATGGATAAACTCTAGAAAGGCCTCTATCCCAGTTATTAAGATTTTCATTCTTCATCTTTATGTTTCTGGATGGTCTTCTAAACTCCCCTTAACTCTTTATTACTACTTCTTTGTAGATGACCCAGACAGTGCTATAATTTAAGCCATTATTGACTAATACAGAATTTTAACCAACCAAGTATATAAAATTGCAGCTCAGTCATTGTTTTTTCCTGTCTTATTCAGATTGACACACTTGACCCACAAAATTTATATCATATTCTTAAAATAAATGAGAACTATGAAGTGTTTTTGTTATACGTTTCCAGTTGTGCAGAAATAAATTTTATGAGCACAGCATGCATCTGAAGTAATAAAACATTTTGGTCTATATTCATGTAAAATTATAGGATTATATATTATAAACAATGTGACTTAATTTATTCTAAAATGTATTAGTATTTTGATCCTAGAAAGGTGTTTTATTATCTTTGTAGTCCTTAAAAATTTGAAAGCCTATTTAGCTATCAACTAGCAAAAACCACTTGAGATATTTAAGTGATAGATATCCTTGATCTTTATTTATATGTGAAAATATTTTTATTTCGCATAGTGCCTATACATACGCTTATATACACATATATTCCATACACATTAATTTATTATATATTTTATGATAGTAAGTGACTGTAAATCTTGATTTCATTTATTTAATAGCAGCTTTTTCAAGATATCTGTTTGTGAGACCCCAGAACTTTTGAATGAAGTTTCCCGCTTTTCTCCCCTTCAAATATTTAAAGTATTGATAGGGTGTTTAGTAACAGATTGTTTAATATCTGGTATTTGCTTTGATTCCTTAGAGGCTTGATGAGCTCAGCCTTTTTAACTCTGTTTACCATTGCCATTGATGTTCCAGTTATGAGAAACTCTAGCCAAGTGTTCTCCTGTTGACTGGGAATGAGAAGCTTGCCCTAAGACAATCCAGGAGCATCTGCTAGTGCGAGTACTTTTCTCTGTACTCTGATAAAGGAATTTCTATAATTCAGGACTGACCTCAGCATACCAAGTCTTACTTATTTCTCACAATTTTTGTGTTACTTGAGATTATTATTATTAACCTTTTCATATACAGTTCCTTCAGGTAGTAAAACACTGAACTGAGGCAGACTATGGTTGTAGGACAGTCATTTGCATGAATTGTCATGAACTTACTCCAAAAGATTTGGAGTGAAAGGGAGTTTGATATGGCAGTAAAATAATGTGCTAAAATAGGTGATACATAGCCACTATGTAACCAGTTTTTAAAATTGATTTACTCTTTCAATTATTCAAGTATTAGAAACTTAAAATGCCTATTATCCAGTTTGGGATGCAAATGACAAACAGGAATCCTAATATACTATGAAAACATTTTTCTCTGAAAATGTTATAATAATTGACCATTAAGTATTTTATATTACTCATGAAAATAATATTATTTGAAAAAGAAAAGTACGCACAATATGGACTTTCAATATTGAAAGTATAGTACTTTTTAAAGTCTGGCTAAGTCATGAGTAAACATATGTGTAGGGATTTTTTGTTTGTTCATTTGTTTTGGCCATGGAGATTGCTAAAGAATATGGAGAAGAAAAGAATTTGCCCACCTAGTATAATTATTATAGGAAGAGAGAGAACTTACTAATAAAGTTTTAACATTACATCTAATAGAGGAAAGTGAACTGACCAGAGTTTGTACTTTATTAAAATTAGTTCAAAACTGATTGATTGTTTTTATACTGCCATTTCTTTTGAGAGAAATATTGAATAAAGCAAGCTTCTTAATTAAAAATAGTTGCATAAGTATTTGTATAAACTAACAATGTACTACTCACTTGGAAATTAATTAATTCAGGAAGCTTACTGAGCATACATAATGCATCTGGCCTCCTAGATACTTTGAAAAGATATGAAAAATTAAAAAGCAGCCCCTGATGTCCAAGAACTGATCTGCCGAGGAACTCAGCATCCTTAGAATGTAAACAGTTTCTCAGAACACCAGTAGACAGGTTATGTCGAGCCCAAGATAGGATGAGACAAAATAAGATCATTTTATAATATTGTCTAAGCACAGACAAAAACAAGGTCACTGTGCTACCCGCAAAATGTCAGACATTACCCTCTCCTAGTTAATGTGAGTGACTACTGCTGCTTTACCAATTGCAGCTTTATCCTCACTCTGGTCTGCCCTGCCTGTAGAATTGCTCCTGTTCTCCGACAATAGCCAATCTAGAATGAACCCCACCTTCCTTGGGGCCTCCCCCAAATCACAAAGCAAAATCCCAAATCCTATAATGAGCTCTTTCTAAAACCCTCTTACTGAGACACCCCACAATGTTCCATGGTGAGCATTCTGCTTCACTTCAACTAAAATTAAACCCAACTCATCCCACTATACATGTGTTCCTGGTGGGTTTTACCTGGGGGGCATTGACTACCAAGAAGGCCCAGTGCCCAAGGAGCTTATTTGGGCAGAACAGATTTATGCCCAGATCAGTTAAAGAACTATAGTAATAACAGGTGCCATTTATTTATTGTGTACCAAATTTGTGTCAGTCATGCCTTTAATATAAGTTATTTAATCTTAACCCTATAAATTTGGTATTGTTTATTTTCCTCACTTTGCGAATAGAGGGTTAGAGAAACCTAAGTCTCTTACCAGCCTGACACCATCAGTAATTGCTATTTGAATCCAGATCTGATTCCAAAGCACACAAACTCTACACTCCTTATCATTCCATCTTACATATAAATTTGAATAATTCATGCTAACATAATCCTAGATCTCTTCAATTTCAAGTGTTTTGCCTTCTGATAGTCTGCATTGTCATTAATTATTTAAATAGTTTTCAGTGATGATGAATTTTAGCTGTATCATTGTTGAGCAAAGCTAACCTACCTTAATAATTTCTACAGATCACTGCACAGATTTATTTTTTATACATCTGAGTGAGCCTTTCTGTGTTTCACTAAAATTATACATCCTCACATATGCCTATATACTCCCTCTGAAATTATATCCAATATCTGTTTTCACGATTTCTTTTAGAGGGAGCCTAAGCCAATGAAACTTACAACTTCAAAATGATGCAGTTATGATTATTTAGAGAACGAGACATACTGTATTTTTATATGGAGTTTATAATCTGCTGTTACTAGTCAGATGTGTGACTTTGGGCAAGTTCCTTAATTTCCCAGAACTTCAGCTACTTTATCTGCCAGTGGGGACCATAACACCCACTCATAAGGGTTCATATAACGTGAAAGTACCTGACACACATGTTGTGTGCCTGCCTCCCCATAGTGTGCCTCCCAGAGTTCTTACCACTTCCTCGCTATCATAATAGTGAATTACTATCCAAAAGTAGAACAGAAATAGCACTTGGAAAGAAAGAAAATCTTTTGGCATTCTATTCTTTCTGTATCAGAAGTTTCTGTCAAGGATCATAGAAAGTATTTGCCTTAAAGGCCTTTTATCACATATCCAGAGATATATTATCATACATAGTTGTTATTTCAGGTATATCATTTATTATACTACTACTTTTGTCCATCCTCAATCTGCACCTTCTTTAGTGTAAATAATTATCAAAGTTCCAAATCAGAAGCTTACATAATAATTGTAAACAATTCCTGGTTCATAGTATACCTTTCTATTGGAGAAATAAAAGACAATATAAGAATAATAAAATTCTAAAATTTCCTTGTAATGAACAATAGAAAAGCCAGAATTAGATTGAGCCTATACCTTCAGATTAGAAAGAATGTTTTCAATACACCACGTCATGTGTAAATTTAATTGAATTATCTGTGACTGTTGTGATGAAGGAAATACCCTTGTAAACACACATTACCAGCTGATATCAATTTTTTTAATATTTATAATCAGACGTTACTTCAGCAAGAATATTTAAATCAACATCTAATCTCCGTGTTTTATGCTTGTATAATTTTAGCAACTAAGATTTCTGAGAGTTTTAAATAGCTTTAAAATGTCAGTCTAAAAAGTAGCACTGGCCATAAATTCTTGCCTTATGAAAATATTTTCCCAGTCCTTCAGGTGAGACATAAAAAGAAGCAAAGCTTTATTTTTGACTGTAAAATAACTCCCAATTTCTTTTTATAAGTATAGAGATAAAGTTCTGGTCCAAGTCCAATTCTCGTTTGTGTCTACTGATACTAATTTGCCTCTGCAGTTTAAATTTGGCTTAGTGTTCATTTGCTGCCTTAAATTGCTATGTGGCATTTCTGTATTCTTGTAACCACTTTCATATCTAATCCTTGTGGTAAGTCAAGTTTCTCTGTATCTCTTAAACTTTGCAGTTTATACAAACATAAAATAAAGTATTTGTACATGTCTTGAAGGAGCAACCAAAAGAGTTAATAGTTTGAGAGCGTTTATGGCCATCAGAATTTTGC